GTCTGGGTAATGAGGTCATGTAGCAACACCCGGCTTCCTCTCCCTAGCCACTAGGCTCCTTATAGTCTTCTGCTCAGGAACATGAGGTGCTTTATAGCCAGGTGGGAACATTACATACGTGCCTCATCTCATTTCATCCTCACAGAAGTTCAGGAGTATGTAGATAGGAGATTCTGTGGAATCCTGTTTTCTTTTCATTAGCCAGAAAAAATAGATTTAGAAAGCTTAGAAACATGACCCAACTGAAAAGAAGTAAGAAATGGTGGAACTTGAAAATGACTTCAGGTTTTCTAACTGCACAGAATATAGTCAAACACTGCTGCAGTTACATATTTTACCTTTTTTCATTCCTGCGTTATCTACAATAATAATCTGCTTCATGTTGATATTTACTGCTGTGTTTCTGACAATTACCTGAAGGAGAAGTTGGGGTGCTTCACTGAGCTGGAAAGGTTTAGCTACATTAGATAGCAGATCTAATTCAGAAAGCTTATTCTCTCTATATATTAAAAGCTAACTTGACTCATGCATTGGTAATGCATCTAAAACTCTTGCTGGTGCCAATCACATGATTGCTGTTCTATGTGTCAATGTTGATCATGAATTTGATTGACACTTCTAACATAGAAAAAAAAGGGTGAGTAGTAATATTAAAATATTTCTTCTAATTAATCTCCTTTCATTGTGCATGAATTTGTGCACTGGGCCAAATTAGTATATAATTTGTATCTATAAGTCTAAATGTCTGTTTCTGTTTTTTTTTAAGTTACACATATAAGTAAAATCATATAGTATTTGTCCTTTTCTGCCTGATTTATTTAACTTAACATAATACCCCCCTAGGTCCTTCCATGTTGTTACATTTAGCAAGATGTGATCCTTTAATATTTGTGAGTAATTTTTCATAGTATGTATAGACCACATGGATTTTACCCATTTATCTATTGATGGACTCTAAGGTTGCTTCCATATCTTGGCTATTGTAGTTAATGAACATGGGATGTATATATCTTTTCAAATTAGTGTTTTTGTTTACCTCTGATAACATAAGTGTAATTGCTGGGTTGTGTACTATTCTATTTTTAATTTTTTGAGGAATCTCCACACTGTTTTCTATAGTGGCTCCACCAATTTACAAACTTGCTCCATGCACAGGAATTCCCTTTTCTCTACCTTCTTGAAAACACTATTATTTGTTGACTGATATCTGGATATTAATTTTTATACTGTTATTTTACTTAATCTATTTATCAGTTCTAGTAGTTTTTTTGTGTGGAATACTTAGGGTTCTCTATATACAGTATCATGTCATCTGCAAATGGTGACAGTTTTACTTCTTCATTTCCAATATAAATGCCCTTTATTTCTATTTCGTTTGTGATTCCTGTAGCTAGGACTTACAATACTATATAAATTAGAGGTTGAGCAATAGTGGGCATCACTGTGTTGTTTTTGATTGTAGAAGAAAAGCTTTTCGCTTTTCATCATTAAATACAATATTACCTATGGCTTTTATTGAGAGTTTTTGTCAGGAATGGATGCTGGATTTGTCATATATGTTTGACTGTAACTATTGGAATGACCATATGAGTTTTATCTTTGGTTTTGTTGATGTTGTCTACCACATTGATTTTTTTGTGTGGATATGGAACCATCTTGCTTGCTAGAATACATTTCACTTGAGCATGTTGTATAATCCTTTACATATTGTTGAATTCATCTTGCTAATATTTTGTTGAAAATATTCACGTCTATTTTTATCAGAGATATTTATTGTCTTGTGATTTTTTTGTATTGTATTTGTCTGGTTTTGCTATCAGGATACTGTTGACCACTTTCATAGAATGAGTTTGGGAATATTATTTTCTTTTCAATACCTCTGGAATATGTTGATTAGGATAGGTACTAAATGCTTGGCAGAATTAAATGATCTGTAGAATTTATTTGTGAAATCATCTGGTCCTGAACTTTTGTTTGTTGGGAGCTTTTATAAAAAAATTATTATTTCAATTTCCTTGCTAGTAATTGATATGTTCAGTTTTTATGCTTCTTCCTGGTTCATTCACTGAAGGTTGTATGTTTCTTGTATAGCTCTTTTTCTGGAGATTTCTTCTATTCTTTCATTTGGGGCCTGTTCCTTTATCTCCCTATATTTGTTGTCTCTTTGTATTTGTTTGTATGTATTAGACCAATTTGCTTTGACTACCAGTCTTTCGTATTTCCTCATTTGTTTACTTTCTGTGTTTATTTCTAGGATTTAAATGAAACACCTCTCCTGAACCTGATGGATTGGGTTTGTGTAAGAATGATCTTTGTGTAGTCTGTGTGCTGTGTGAATTCTGCTGGTTTACTGGAATTGAAGTGGTTGCTTAAGGTACCAGAGGATTCTTGCTATGCAGGCTAGCCACAGTGGAGCCAAACATGGGCCAATTTTCTCAGGGTATTCAGCTCTGGGGCACCCTGGTAAGCTGATTGGCTGGATTTGTAGCAGCCAGTGGCATATGGCTGCAGCAATGCAATGAAGTTTGTCTGTTGGAGCCTGGGGATGAGTGTGGGGTGAGTGGCCTAGGGCATTCTATGGTGGCCTTGCAGGTGAGTTGCAGCACATGAATTGAATTCCTGCCCATGCTATCAGTGGAAAGAGAATGTAAACATTGGCATTCACAGGCACCTCCAATCCCACCTCGCTGAATCTCCCAGGGAGCACCTGCCCCACAGTGGGAGAGGTACAACTCACCAAGTTCTAACCCACTAATCTCTCTTTCACCAGCCCATGGTAATCACCATTTTACTACTGTATCTAGTCGGTTTACCATTTTTAGATTTCATATACAAATGATATCCTATATTATTTGTATTTTTCAGTGTGCCTGATGTCACTTAACATAAACATTTATGTTGGCCTAAATGGTAGGATTTGCTCCATTATTAAGATTGAATATTTAGTGTGTATGTGCATGTATCTGTGTGTGTGTGTGTGTGTATGTGTGTATTTCACATAAGTTGTTTACATTTATAGACTCTTATTTATAATGATGGAATTATGGAAATATTTTTGATATCTTATTTTTCTTACTTTTAGAAGTATACCCAGAAGTGGATTTGTGGATCATATGGAAGCTCTATTTAACTTCTTAATAAACCTCCATACTGTTTTTCATAGTCGTTGTACTGATTTTACATCCCCACCAACAGTACACAAGATTCTGTTGTCTTGTAGATCACCAAGTTTTCTTAACACAGCTATTTTGACTTTTTTATTGGGTGAATCATATATCTCCATGTCTGTATTTGTTTGTTTGAGGATTGTTGTACAATGTTTCCTTGATTTTTCATGTTCTTTTGGAATTTTGCATTGCTGTTTTTGTTTTTTTATTTGAATTAGCAGCCACTGCATTGCTGTTTTTGTATTTGAATTAGCAGCCACTTTCAGGGTAGAAATACCTTTTATCAGTACTGCTGTAGACAAGGCTTTTTCAGATCTTATATGATATGCCTTCTCTGTGCTTCATGCTCCCTCTTGTGGAAGAATTCTTGAGCCTGTTTGCCCTCCCTCCATATAAAGCACCAGGACAGATACTGAGTGCCTCCTCTTTCTTTTCCTGAAGGTGGTGCTACAGCTCAAGGGTATGGTTCTTTCCTGTCTGCAAACCCTTGTCTGTATTCTGCTCTTTCTTCCTAGCCTTTTATCAAATCTTGCTCTTGCTGCTGCCTTTTGCAGCATTTACATTGAGCTCGCCAGAGGGAGAAGGTCTGGGTTGGAATGTAGGGCACTGTTGGTGCCCACATGCCAGAATGGGGAATCTGTAAGAAAGGTTTACTGAATGCTTTGAGGTCAGCATTCCTGATGGAGTACAGAATGCATTCAGGAGGAACCATGTCTCTTTACATGCTCTTTACTAATCTTCTTTTCAAGATCTGCTCCCTCTCGCCAGTCACTGAGCTTCTAATTCAATATTCTGGATGCTGTGAGAGAGAAATGAGCTCTTTGGAAGCATCCTGCAAACCAGAGGCAGCTTGGCATCCACTCACAAGCTCTCTATCCCTGTGAAAGAAATCCTGGGCATGGTCAGGCCTTCTTTTGGCCTTACACTGAGCTGCTTTGGAAGAGGAATGATGCTGGCAAAATCAAGCTTTCCTCTCACACACACCAATGCATTCAAATTTGTCTATTTTTTTCTCTCTCTCCAACAGAGTGCTGTAACTTCTCCTTTTGAAATCTGGATTTCTACAAAAGCTCTCTCCTCCAGAGATGACTGCCCAAACCAGGTAAGTACTCCTGGACTGCAGCTAAGAGGGGCTGGAACAAGTCACAATATCCTATAGGTGCCACAGCCAGTACTGGAGTCTTTCTGCCTATTATCTGCTGTGTATGTGGGCAAGACTCTTTCCAGGTCATTTTACTTTGGCACTTTTGTTCGTGGATAAATAAATTTTTATTGTTGAAGGAGGACAATAACAAGGGATGTCTCATGCTCACTTACACCAGATTGTTATTACCACTCCTGAGGTATTATGATCCACTCCCATAGGATGCTCTCCAGCCTTATTGTAGCATTATGCCTTTTGTTTTATTATAATACTTTTCACACTATTTTTATCACTTGCTAATATGATCTCTTTCTAGGTAAAACCACTGCTGTGGGGAGCAAAAACTATGTCTACACGACTCTTCTATATATCTCCCCCCTTATCCTTGCACTGTGCTAGTCTCTTTAAAATTAGTTTTTGAATTAATGGCTTACATTTTTTATGTGTTGAATAATGAAGGCCTTAATTTACCTACCCCTATTTCCAAAGCCTCCTCAATATAGTTCTTTATTTTGCAATGATAGTGACATTCAATTTTTTGAAATAGTATAAAATATATGAGTTTCCAATTGGCAGGTCACTTTACCCATATTCCCATATGTCACTCAGTGCGATCAGATTTTATGAATGAAGAACACAGAATCATTCTTCCTGAAAATGCAAAGAAGAACAAACAAGAATAGTTTTACCTTAGGCAGAGGCTTAGCAGGTTTGCAGTGGAGGCCTCCAACAAATACAAAATTTGGCAAGAGTGGGCGAGGAAACTCAAAATCCCAGTAGGTTCGAATAAGCCATATATCAGCTTTCCCCATTAACTCAAATAATGTAGTGGGTCTTCCTGAAAGGGAAGAAGAAAATAAAAGCTGGGAAAATAAGAATATTGCAATGTGAGTATACCATTTTGTTTTCTTCTTAAAAAAAAAAAAGCTTGGATAATGCAGTTAAAGATGTTTAAAATATCTGTGGTTTAATAGTTCAAGCATCTCTCCATATAAAAGCCCAAGTGACAATTATGACCTGTTGGTCAACTGAAAAAATAGTTAACTCGTCCCTATAATGTGCACTGACCACAATGGGGCAGGCACTCAATGCTGGACCTGCGCCCTGGTGGTCAGTGATGTCCCTTATCCAACCTCCTATGGTTGGCCAACATACCACAGTTCATCCCCTTGGTTGGCTGAGTGGTTAGTCTGATCCCATAGTCAACCTCCTTTGGTCCCTCTCCCCAGCCAGTTTGCCCTGATAAGTCCTAACCTCTGACCATGCCAAGGGACCATAACCATGCACAAATTGGTTCACCAGGGCTCTAGGATTTATATAATATACACTAGAGGCCTGATAAATGAAAATTCATGCACTGGGGGGGTGTTCCTCAGCTTGGCCTGCTCCCTTTCACAGTCCAGAGCCCTCAGGGGCTAGGAGGCAACCCGGCAATCCGGGGAAGGTAACACCTCATCTCATCTCTGCTGCTGCCATTGCTGGCAGTGCAAACCTCGATCCACCTGGTTACGTAAGGCTTGGGTGGCCCTGGGCAGCTGGGGAGCTGCCATCGAGGCTTGCCTGTGCCTCAGGCTGGCCCTGGGCGGCTGGGGGGCTGGTGGACTTGGGGACTCTGGAGGCAGCTGGGCCTGCCTGGGCACCCTGGTGAGGCTGAGGGGACTAGGCATTACCATATTTGAGGGAGGGGTAGTCAATTAGCATATTCCCTCCATATTGGCTGTGGGCACCAACATCTTTGTGACAGCATGAGGTTCAATTAGCATATTCCCTCTTTATTAGATAGGATGTTTTATATCATGATTTTCATAAGTATTAGCAATATACATACAATTTAACAGATTTTCTTCTCTAACATTACATCAGGACATTCACAAGCATAGAAAATGGTTAAACCTAAGCCACTATAGAATTAAACATGTACTTGCTTACTCTATACAGCTGTAGAAGTAATAGATGCAAATGTAAACAACGATTTTAATTCCTCAATCAATTAAATCTACCATATACATGGAAACACTTTTCCCTATATTATTTAATCTAGTTTTTACAATTTAGCAAGCTATTCCTGTTATCCTAGATTTCCCCCCAAAAATAAGGTTTTGAGAGTATGGCACAATTTCTGGCACTATAATTGCATTTGGTTCAATTTTGGAGCCTAATAATACTTGTGTATTACTAAAAACATTTACAAATAACGTCTGGAATATTTTCATAAAGTAAGGTAATAAATGTGCTCACTCTTAATTTTGACTCATTTTGTCTTTAATGAAGGGAGAGTTTTCACAAAATGAAGTTTACTGACTTACATGTACACCCATCAACAAAAGTTTAGTGTTTAAGCAGATCAGTGAAGGAATGTGAAGTCATTAGAAAACTCACATTATAGGTTACTGAGTCTGGAACAGAGCACTCTCTGTCCTGTGTGTGAAAGAACCCTTCAGGTACTGTGGCAAATTAGTTTAGTTTTTAAATCAAACTAAACTATATTAGAGGAAGCAATTCCTCAATGACCTTATAATATAAGCATTTCCATAATATTTGTGAGAATGAAAGATCAGTTTATAATGTTATTTTATTATTTACTTATTAAAGACACATTTCTCTGAATTAATACTTATACTAACCCACCTTTTAGAGCACTAACAAAGTTAGGTTATCATGATACCAAGTAAGGACATGACTTACCTAGTGCTTTGCTGCAAAGCTGATCCCACTTCTCAGTAAATGTTTGGAACCAGAAATCAAAATAAAGTACGTAAATCATATTTTTTACTCGCTCCATGAATGTCATGTGATCACTTAATTCTGACAAGATAACAGGTACGTAGGATGGAGGGAATGGAAGTCCTCCACTGTACCTTTCAATTGTATAGCCAACAGAGAAACGGAGACTGTACACAAAAGGTACTTTAAGTAGCTCAGCCAGCAGCTCACCACAAGGTCCAGCGGCATCTGCAAGAACGACATCAAACCTTGATTCCTGTAGTTTGGTCATAAGTTTCTTATTCAAAACTACTTCTTTACAGAGTGTTTGAATACAGTCATTATATTCCCAAATGATATCTTGCATTAGTGAAAAATAAGTAAAAAATGCATATTTTGGCATATATGTCCACTTAGAGATAATCCGTGTGAAAAGATCCTCAAAATCATCTTTTGTTAAAGACGTAGGATAAATCTCAAATTGAATAGCAGATGGCTTATTGGGATCAACAAGAATCGAAGCTGAGGATGTCAGAACAGTCACTTCATGACCTCTCTGCACAAGTGCATCCAGGATTGTCTTCATGTTGATCCAATGGCTGTATTCTGTGGGCCACACCAGCACCTTCCCACAGCTCCCAGGGCTGAAGTGGCAACTCAGCTGGAGCAGCAGCAGAACTGAAATCCACTTCCTAGGCATCCTGGAGGCACACAGGCTTCTTTTCAAATGGCCGATCCAGTTCCCACGGAGGCTTCTTTTCAAATGGACGATCCCGTTCCCAAGGCTTACGCTTAAGTACAAAAGGCTATCAACCAGGAAGTTAAAATGTAACCTATACACCCACAGAAAATACATTTGATGAATAATCAGAGAATTTTATGGCAAGTCAGAACATTACAAAGTAAATACCTTTGATGAACAGTCAGATAATTTTATGGCAAGTCAGAACATTACAAAGTAATGACCTTATTTTTAATACAAATCTGTGTAGTATCTAAAAGTGGTGTCATCCTGCTGCATCAACTTTGCAGTTTTCCTGTGTTTTATAATTTATTATAGATGAATGTCATTATTATAGGAAGTTAGAGGTAATTTTCTCTGTACTCACTTCTGTGAAGAAAGGGAGATAAGCTATTACACAGCTGACAAAGAATTAACTGGATGACAGTTCCAGAGTTTTTATTTTGTTTATTTATTTTTTAAATTTATCTTTATTGCTGAAAGTATTACTGGTGTTTGCTTGAGGTCCCCCCCCCCCCCCATTGATCACCTTCTCCCATACCTGCCTCTCCCAAACCTTTGACACACTACTGTCTGTGTTCATGGGTTATGCGTATATGCATGTCAATTCCCCTATTAATCTCTACTCTCCAACACACACTAACTACCCCACCTTTCCTCTGACATTCATCATTCCTTTCATGGTTTTATCTCTGCATCTATTTTGTTCATCAGTTTATTTTGTTCATTAGATTCTACATATACATAGCTCATATGATACTTATCTTTTTTAAAACAATATATTTTATTGATTTTCCATAGAGAAGGAAGAGGGATAGAGAGCTAGAAATGTCGATGAGAGAGAAACATTGACCAGCTGCCTCCTGCACACCCCCTGCTGGGATGTACCCGCAACCAAGATACATGCCCTTGACCGGAATCGAACCTGGGACCTTTCGACCAACACTCGATCCACTGAGCCAAACCGGCTTATCTCAATTAGCATAATACTCTCCAGGTCCATCCATGCTGTTGCAAATGGAAAGAGTTCTTTCATGTTTACTGCCATGTAGTATTCCATTGTGTAAATGTACCACAGGTTTTGTTATCTACTCATCAACTAATGGGCCTTGGGCTGTTTCTAAATCTTAACTATTGTTAATTGTGCTGCTATGAATATAGGGGTGTATATATTCTTTCTGATTGGTGTTTCTGGTGTAGTAGGATATATTCCTAGAAGTGGGATCACTGGGTCAAATGGAGGTTCGTTTTTGATTTTTTGAGGACTCTTCATAATGTTTTCCACAGTGGTTGCATCCATCAGTCTGCATTCCCACCAGCAGTTCAAGAGGGTTCCCTTTTTTTCCCACATCCTTGCCAACATGTCATTTGTAGATTTGTTAATGATAGCCATTCTGACAGGTGAGGTGATTCCTAATTGCTCTTATAATTTGCATCTCTCAGATGATTAGTGACTTTGAGCATTTGTTCAAATATCTCTTGGCCTGTATGTCTACTTTGGAGAAGTGTTTAGTTCCTTTGCCCATTTTTTAAGCATGCTAATGTGTTTTTTAAAATAATTTATTATTGTTGAAAATATTACATATATGCCCTTTTTCCCCATTGGCACCAACTAGCCCACCCCCAACTTTCACCTCAATCCTTCACCACCTCATTTTCTAGGTCCATGGGCCATTCATATATGCATACAAGGTTTTTGGTTAATTACCTCCCACCCACTCACATACTCCCACCTTCCCTCTAAGATTCCACTATCTGTTCCATGTTTCCATGTCTCTGGATCCACTCTACTCATCAGTTTATTTTCTTACTTAGATTCCATCTATGAATGAGATGATGTGATATTTCTGTTTCTCTGACTGACTTATTTCACTTAGCAGGATACTCTCTAGCTCCCTTCATTCTGTCTCAAATGGTGATTTTTTTTTTTTTTTCATCCACTCATCTGCTGATGTGCACTTGGGCTCTTTCCAGATCTTAGGTATTGTAAATTGTGCTGCTAGGAACATAGGGATACATACATTCTTTCTTATTGGTATTTCGTTTTCTTAGGATATATTCCTCAAAACGGAATCACTGGGTCAAATGGTAGCTCCATATTTTTTTTTCTTAGGAAAATCCATACTCTTTTCCATAATAGCTGCACTAGCTGACATTCCCACCAGCGTATATTAGGGTCCACTTTTCTCCACATCCTCGGCACTTGTCATTGTTGCCCTGTGGCTACTGGGAGCAGGTGGCTCTCTTTGGAAAAAGGGCCATTTAGGTTTGGATGCATACAAATGACCAAATGTAGGATTCCTGACTACTGCTGTTCCATGTCTCCCTGCACTGCTTCCCCCACCAGCCTCTCTATAGGCACCTCAAGTCTGTACCTCCCTCCTGCACCAAAGCCTCAGGTGAGTAGTTGTAAATGAAAACTCATAAGCACTGGGTTTAGAAAAAAGTAAATTGTGACTTTCTCTCCAACCAGCTCCAATCTGCTGGACTCCACAGTCACCAGTAGACCTTCACAGCTGGATGTTACATGGGCCACAGGTCTCATCTCTGGTGCCGAGGCTGGGTTCTGGGCCTCTGTCTTCAGAGGAAACGGACCCTCCTGTGGCCCAGCATTCCGTCCTCTCTTGGCCTACTGCCCGTGGGAGCTGGGTCAGCTCCTCTCCTGACCTGGCCCTTCCTACTAGTTTGCTTTCTGTCCTTCTTTGATGTATTATAAATCTCTTCCTTAGCTGGACCTCAGTTGGTAATTGCAGGTGAATGTTCTCTACTTTTGCAGTATTTCCCATCTGGCCCTGGGATAAGGTGGGTGACATGCTGCCCATTTAGCTGCCATTTTCTCCTCTGATATTTTAATTTCTTAAAATAAAACTTTGTGAACATATAATTTACCAGTCATACAATTGATTCATATAAAATGTACATTTCAATAGTTCATACTGTTTTCACAGAATATTGCTTCCACCATGATGATCATGTGAAGAGCATTTTCCTACCCCAGTGAAACCTTTACCCTTCACTTGGAAATCCCTAATATCTTACTCTCTAAACTAGGGGTGTTGAACTCAATCAGAGAAGGGGCCAAAATCTAAAATCCAGCCTAAATCGCAGGCCGAATGGTTTACTGAACAGTCATAAACTGTCATTGTGATGGAAACGCAGCGGAGTGCAGTGATGACAGCGCGGTGCCGGCCACATTGCAAGGCCTGGCGGACGGATTTGGCCCGTGGGCCTTGCAATGTGAATAATGTGAATAAACTGAATAATGTCATAGGTGGCCTTTCGTGATTGGCTTCTTTCACTTAGCAAAATAATTTAAAGATTTATTCATGTTACAGCATGTATGCTTTTTATTTTCCAGATATTTCATAATAAAGACATATCACATTTTTTTTTCTTGCATTAGTTGATAAACATCCTTTGCCCCCAATTTTGGTCACTATGAATAATGATTTTTAATATTCATGTGCAAGTTATGACTGAACAAGTTTTCCTTGGGTATACATGTGTTTGTAAATAGCTAAGTGATGTTGTGCCTTATTTTGCAAGAAGTGCATATATATATATATGTACAGACACACACTATACGAACAGTCAATAAGTCCCTTTAGAGTAGGGGTGTCGAACTCAATCAGAGAAGGGGCCAAAATCTAAAATCCAGCCTAAATCGCGGGCTGAATGGTTTACTGAACAGTCATAAACTGTCATTGTGATGGAAACGCAGCGGAGCGCAGTGATGACAGCGCGGTGCGGGCCACATTGCAAGGCCTGGCGGGACAGATTTGGCCCGCGGGCCTTGTGTTTGACACATGTGCTTTAGAGTATGGGTTCTACATTATCAAACCTGCAATTGAGTCCATATATCCATTATCAAAGGCTGCAAGAGGAAAAAAAGCAACCAGTTGAATCGTTTTAGGGGGCTGTGATGTAAAGAGAATTAGTTACTAAAACCAAAGTCTATCATAAACTGCTCAATTTTATATTAGGGAGCAACTAGCTGTTGTTATATTTCTAAGTTAGAATACACTTTATTTTTATTTTTGTTGTTGTTGTCAATCCTCACCCAAAGATATTTTTTTCCATTGATAATTTTAGAGAGAGTGGAAAAGGGAGAGAGAGAGACAGAGACACATAGACTGTTTGCCTCTAGTACAAGAACCCACAACCAAGGTACATGCCCTTGACTCGAATCAAACCCACAACACTTCAGTCTGCAGAGTTACACTCTGACCACTGAGCCCACCTAGCCCAGCTATGGCTCCACATACACTTTAATGGGAAATAAACTGGATGAGGGCAAATGACCTGCTACATTCTTAGGTAACAAATGATACTGAGGCTGGATATACAGTAAATCCAAGGAGTAGAGGGTGCAGGAGTAGGAAGGAGTGGGTAAATGACGGTTAAAAAGATGACGGTTAAAAAGGGGGAGGAGGGCATCTATAATACTTTCAACAACAAATATATATATATTTTATATATATAATATATAATATATATTAAATAATATATATATATTAAAGGCCTGGTGTATGAAATTCATACACAGGGTGGGGGGGTGTCCCTCAGCCCAGGCTGTACCCTCTCCAATGTGGGACCCCCGAGAGGGATGTCCGACTGTCCAGACAGTTGACATTCCTCTCACAATCAAGGACTGCTGGTTCCCAGCTGCTCGCCTGCCTGCCTTCCTGATTGCCTCCTAACCACTCCCCTGCCTGCCTGATTGATGCCTAACTGCTCCCCTGCCAGCCTGTTTGCCCCTAACTGCCCTCCCCTGCAGGCCTGGTTACCCCTAAACGTCCCCCCTACAAGCTTAATTCCCCCCAACTGCTCACCCCAGCAGGCCTGAGTGATGGTTAATTTGCATATTACTCTTTTATTAGATAGGATAACAACCTTCTCCTTCCCCCCTCCCCCCAAAAAAATAGGAGCATTAGTGATCTCTTAAAAGGAAATGGAAGGATGAATCATTTCACATAATTCTATTGAATGGTTTCTTTAGCAAAAGATAAAAATACAGAATTTTATACCAGAATAAATTAAAAATATTCTGAGTATTTGCACAGTAATACTGATATTGTGAAATAAGTCAGTTAGAGAAAGATAAATATCACATTTAATGTTCTTGTGTTTATGCCTAATGTTGGAAACATAATTAAGCTTAATTTTTGGTATAACTTTAAAATTAATATAATAAAATTTAATATATACCCACATTGTTTTATTATTTTATTTTTGCCCAGTTTTTTCCTCTTCGGTATGAATGTTTTTAACTCTTAAACAGACAGAAAATCAGTTGAAAACAAAGTTTGATTTGTGAAGCTAAATTGTGAAAAGTCGTTTTTGTCACAAAAAGTAGGAATCCTCATGTTACAACTTCATTGTACAGAATAAAATGAAGGAGGCATATCAGCTTCAGGAGTGTCAGCTTCAGGCCTCAGAAACTACTCCCTTTTTTTCTTCTTTCCTGGTTTAGCAAACTTCTGGTAACAAAAAAGACAACATTTTGTGATGACAAATGTAGCAGTTGCCACACAGGCCAGCAGGAACCCTATCACATCCAGAGAGTGGTACTGGCACCAGCTGAGGTCATGGGAGGCTGGCCGCAGGTGTTTGGCTCCTTTGTGGCGCATGACAAACTCGATCCAGAAGACTGCTCGCTCCAGAGGTTTCATAGGCTGGTCATGATGAATTCTTGACAATCTCATTGCATTCTCTTTATATCTAAAGGAGAAACCCAAAGATACCAACACTGAAAGGAAGTTAACTTACCTAAGCATATCATGCCCATGAAAGGTTTTTGAAAATGTCATGAATATAATTCAAAATAGTACCATTCATTAAATTTACTTCTTCATAGGTAGTTTGGACTTAAATTGGAATTTTCTGATAACATGGAACCCCTTTTTCTGTCCTTAATTTATAGTTTCAGGAATGTTTGGCACTAAATTGAAATATTTTATGCAACTTCTTGTGTTCTTCGTTCCTTAATTCTATGGGTTCTATCATATTTAAAAAACACAGACACACACACACAAAAAACACGTATCCTTGTAGTGAACAATATTACTTTGTATACATTTGTGTAGAAAATTGTTGTAGTAATTGATTACCTGTTCAATCAGGTTAAATGCAACTTTGAAATTAATTTATGGTTGGAAATAAAAACAGATTTAAGATTGATTTAAAATTAATAATTTTAAAATTAATCTCTCAGTAGCAGATGAAACTTGTACTCATCATAGACAAAAGAATCTATAAATACTATTAAAATTGTGGTACTCACGATGGGTCATTAATGACTGTCTTCAATGCATTGAGTAAATCTGCAGTAGACATGGTGTTGAAGTCCATTCTGATAGCTGCTCCCTTGGTCTTCATGTGAGCAATGTTATCAGGTTGATCCGCAAACATAGGAAGGCCCACCATAGGGATCCCATGGGAGATTGCCTCATAGATGCCATTGGTTCCACCGTGAGTTATAAAGGCTTTGGTTTTTGGATGACCTAGGATTAGGTGAATTTCAGTAAATTATTAATTATAAGACTTAGAAATGAAATGAGAGTTGGGCAAGAAGAGCACTCAGACACTATATTCTAGATGACAGATTATTATACACATGAAAATGCAGGTATGTACACAGATAATTTAATAAAAAAGAAAGAAAAATGTATTTTAGATCTCATAGAAAGAATAGCTGTAATTGCTGAAGAGGTAAATAGACATGGTATGGCATTGTGACTTGAAAAATGACAAGTTGAAGGAGAACATTCTGTGAGGAGCAGGTGCTTGGTAGAAGGGGTCAATGGGGAAAAGGGACGACTTCTGTATTGCTTTGAACAATAAAGATAAATTTGAAAAAAAAGAAGGAAGAGAGCATTATGAATAAAAAATAGCATTTTCAGAAAAAATAAATAAGTCAATAAATAAATAAAAGGAGGTAGCATGTTTGAAAATATTCTCTTAAAGAAATAGTGAAGTCATCAAGTATTACATGTGGGATGTCCAGGAAGCAGGAAATGTGAGTGTGGTGACTCTGGAATCAGAAAAAGAACAGACCACATTTTATCGTGAAATGTGTTGTCACTTCAGGAAGATTATGACTATTTCTCCATTGAAAAATGGAGTCACTGGTAATAAAAGAAGTGTTCTTATTTTTTAATGTCAGTACCCATACAGAAGTGGAAAAAATAGAAATAAGAAGGGAGAAGTAGGAGGCAGAGTGGTAGTTATTGAAAAATTCTTCATGAGAAGTAGTTATATCTGAAGTAAAGATTTTTGATTTCAAACATAAGGGAGGAGATGGTCTATAATAAAATGTTAGCTTTTATATGTTATCCTTTTCCCTCAGGACTGGCAAATGTATCAACATTAAGGATTATTTTTGAGTTTTTCTAAAATAAATGTTCAGTAAATTTTTTTCTTTTTGAAGTATTATCACTATTTTTGGAGTTTTTGTTATTTTGGTGTTTGGTTTTCAGTCTCACCAAGAAGGTCATTCTGGGGGATCCACTTATAGAGCCGAGTATTTGGCCCCAAGGTATCTGGTTTCTTGCCATCAAATCTCCATAGAACCTGTTAAAGCAAAGAAAATATTTCATTCCATGAGTTGAACTAAAGGTATAGCATGCTCATATTACAAAGCAATTAAGTGATAATCTAGATTAAGCCCTTCATAGACAGATAAGTAATAAGGACAAGAGATTAACACAAAGAGCTATTATAACACTGGTATGACAGTAATACCCACTTTTTATGTGTTTACTTTTACATTCAATCAAGTATGAATGCAATCATGATGTTCAATACATACAGGTATAGAAATGAGATCATCAAGAATGAGTTTAAGTATTTAAAAAATTTTAGCCCTGGCCAACATGGCTCAGTGGTTGAGCATTGGCCCATGAACCAAGAGGTCACAGTTTAATTGTTGGCCAGGGCACATGCCAGGGTTGTGGGTATGTGGAAGGGAGCCAATCAATGATTCTCTCTCATCATTGATGTTTCTATCTCTCTCTCCCACTTCCTTCCTCTCTAAAATCAATAAAAATGTATTTTAAAAAATTTAGGTCTAATCATAATTCTAGTGCAAAAAAGTAGATATTTACTACACATCCTATATAATAAAACCATAATATGCAAACGTTGGAACAACCGGCAGAACACCTGGTCGCTATGATGTGCACTCACCACTACAGGAAAGACACTCAATGCAGGAGCTGCTCCTTGGTGATCAGTGCACCCCCACAGGGGGAGCACTGCTCAGCAAGAAGCAAGAATTATGGCTGACAGCGCCAGCGGTGGTGGTGGAGCCGCTCCCACCCCCATAGCCTTGCTAAGGATCAGCAAGCTGAGCGGTAAGGAGCAGCACATAGGCAGGCAGTAAAGAGCAAGGAGTCCAGGATTGCAAGAGGAGCGGCCCTAAGCAAGCAGTGTGCCATACCCCAAGGGCTCCAGACTGTGAGAGGGCACAGGCTAGGCTGAGCCTCCCCACCCCCACCCCGCCCCGCCCCCAATCTCCTTGCAGGAGTTTATGCATCAGGCCTCTAGTTTATTTATAATTTCTCTCATTTTGCAATGCAATATTAACCTATATTTTTAAGTATTACAGAAGGGAGTTTTCTTATATCTACTTGTCTCATAAGTTAATTTTTACATAAAAATTTAACTTTTTTCACTTTTTGTTTGATTTAAAGTCACTAATTAATTTTTTAATATTTTTTATTTTTTTATTGAATTTATTGGGTGATACTGATTAACAAATTATACAGATTTTATGTGTACAATTCTACAACACATCATCAGTACACTGTATTGTGTGTTCATCACCCAAAGTCAAGTTTCTGCCCATCACCACTTATCCACTCTATACCCTCCCGCACCTCTCTTCATCCCCATCCCCTCTGAAATCACCACACTGTTGTCTGTGTCCATGAGTTTTTCTCTTTTTCCCTTTTTCCCCCCTCAATCCCACCATTTCCCTCTTCGCCACCAGCCTCCTTACTTCTACCCTGAGAGCTGTCAGTTGCTATCTGTGAGTCTGTTAACTTTTTTGTTTGTTCATTTAGATTCCACATATGAGTGAAATAATACGGTATTTGTCTTCTTACTGGCTTGTTTCACATAGCATAATACTCTTCAGGTACATCCTTGCTGTCCCCAAAGTAAAGTTTTTCTTCTTTTTATGGCAGAGTAGTATTTCACTGTACTACAGCTTTTTGAACCCCATGAACCAAAGATTTATCTAAGACTAAAAAAAAATTTAAATGCAACAAAGAAGAACATGTAGGCACTTTATTACAGTAGAGTTATTGAAAAAAAATCCAAAATTGTGATGATGCCAAAGTTTTTTCAACTAAGTGTTAAAACTTCAGTGACACACTATATAGCATGGACAGCACTGATTACAATAGGGCCTGTAGCCAAGCAATTTTTATATCTAGGAACAAACTAGATTCTGATTTTTTAATTCTCATAAATATCAGCATTTTTCATAAACTGGATTATAATTTACATTATAGTGCTTAACATTTATTTGTTACATGGGTGTTAAAGTAGCAGGAGATGTTTAGCAAAAATTAGCACAGGCTATAAGCAGAAATTACATCAGTTAGGAAACGAAAAAGTAGTTCATAAATACCCAAAGACTGCAAGTGTAAATAAGATATTGAACAATATCTTACTACTCTGTTTTATGGAGAAGGGGGCATCTGAACTTTTCCATACTGAGCTTACTTCTCCTGGACTCCTCATATAGTCCCTACCCCTTCCTCAACCAGGAGAAGTTATTATTCTGATGGGTTAGAAGCAGAGGTTTTTGGGAGCCATATTTGATAAAGCACACAGTCATCTTAATGGTGGATCCACTGTCTCCTCCCCATTTCTAATTTATCTTCCTCCACTTTTATAGGACTCAGTCAACCAGATTGTGACAGCTTTTCTTTCTCTAGATGTGTCTGGCTTGGGAACCTGGACCCAGGTTAGTGAATCCTGGCTATTCTTTCTCTGAACAGCACCCAGAAATCACACTGAATAGGCCTATAACAAAAATTAGGGAAGTAAGAGTGACCTGGATTACTTAGAAAACATAAAATGGCATTCTTTCAGTAGGTCATCAATTCCTACTTAATATTATTGTTAGAATTTTATTCCTTTCTAATAACATGCAGTGTGCACTGTGTCTTCAGGGATCCTGCAATAAGATGGAGCCAGTGAGAGAGCAGAGTTTGGTGATTTTGGTATCCTCCTGCAATATCACTGTAACACCAAACTTGACATTATACCTGTTAAATATATTCCATTCTGATCACAATGTTAATGCCAAAGTTACTGTTAAACATAACTTTTCTTCTATTTTAGCACCTGCCTTGTATCTTTTGGTTTGAATTCATAGCTGAGATAAATAGGAGCTATCATAATGGCTTACATATCACACAGGAATTTATGTAATTAGCACATATATAGCTGTGCACTATTAAGATATTTAGTATAACCTTTTGTGGAATCTGGGCAAGGGCTGATGCAATCACATTGGCTCTTTCTTCTGATATATTTGAGATGATTGATCCCAAAGAAAACACGACAATACCATGTTTTCCAGAGCTCTGGACAAACTCTTCCATCTCCTGTAAAGAAAAAATTGCTCCATCACAAAAGAGTAATAACATATCAAATGCCATTGAAAGGAATGCTTTCAAACAACTGAGAGAAATCAAGTATTATCTGGAGTTATGAGTATTCCTTTTTTTTTTTACAAATTGTGCTAACATATACATAACATAATATTTACCATCTTAATATAATAGTTCCTAAGTGTACAATTCAGTAATACATATATTCACATTATTGCACAACCAAACTATCGAACTTCATCTTGCAATACTGCAACTGTACCCATTATGCAGTAACTATTTCACTGGTCCCTAGTAATCATGATTCTATTTTCCATTTCTATTTACTAGACCAGTCTGAATATATAATGTAAGTGGAATCATACAGTATTTGCTTTTTGTCAGTGACTCTCTTTATTTAACATGATATTCTCAGGTTTCATCCATGTTATAGCATTTATTAGAATTTACTTTCATTTTAAGGTTGAGTAAAATATCATTGTATGATAATACTGAATTTTGTTTATTGATTTGTCTATCCATGGGCTCTTGGGTTGCTTCCTCTTTGGAGTTTGAACAGTGCTGCTATGAATATGGATGTGCAGATATTTTATTGAGATTATGATTTTAATTCTTTTGGATATATACCAAGAAGTGGAATTGTCAGACCATATGGTAATCCTTTTATTTTTTGGTGAGAATCTCCTTTGTTTTCAGTAGTTGATTTTTTTTCAACAGACTCAATATTTCCATTGTCTTGGAAGGACAATTGATTTCTTGCAATATATATATATAATCACCAAGAAATGAAATAGAGCCAATACACCGATGGTCTTTGGCTACCCTGCTAGTGGTTACTCAACCTGAGGGTGACCCACAGGTTGAGAACTGCTAGCATGGTCACCTAAGGCCATCAGAAAACACAGATATTTACATTATGATTCATTAACAGTAGCAAAATTATAGTTATGAAATAGCAACAAAAATAATTTTATGGTTGGAAGTCACCACAACATGAGGAACTGTATTAAAGGGTTGTGGCATTATAAAGGTTGAGAACCACTACCCTAGAGTCAGGGGAAGCCAGCAGACACCTCATGAGGCCTCACCCTTGAGCTCACCCCTAATTACAAATATATCCCTGCAAGGAGCTTATATACACATCTGGCAGCCCACTTTGTCCTTGCCACCCAATGGATATATAGATCTATTGGCTTTGATAGCCAATGAGAATTATATTCATAAATCCCACAGACTACAGCAACCAAATTTATTAATGGTGCAAGAGCCCCTTCAGAGGCTATAGCAGTACAGAAGTATCAGATAAAACATGTCCCAATTTCTTCTTGGAAGGACCCTAACTATATACTATCCAGCCTCTAATCAGCCTACAGTTAGGTCAAACATGTCAAACTCACAGCTGGCAGCTTTCATGCATCCTTTAGGACTTTTCCTGTAAATCTTATGACAATTACAAACTAATAACCTATAGTTGATACATAAGAAGAAAAATAGTAAGAATTTAAGCATATCATTGTAAAAATTATCAAATCACAAAGGATCAGAGTAAGAGAATAAAGGACCAAAAAATACAAAACAGTAAGAAAAAAGTTAAAAATATTGATAGTAATCCAATACTTATCTATTGATTTTACTTTAAATGTACATAGTTAGATTCTACAATCCAAATATAAGGTGATTGAGTCCATAAAAATAAAGGAAAATATGACCCCAATGTGTGCTACCTATAAGAGACTCACTTCTGATTTAAGGACACAATACAGATTGAAAGTGAAGGGATGGAAAAGATATTTCATGAAAATGGAAATAACTGTATACTTACAAGTATACAGTTATTTACTGCTTATACTTAGCAAAATACTCTTTAAGCTAATGGTCACAACAGACAAAGTGAACTATAATGATTAAAAGGTCAATCCAATAAGATGATATTACATTTGTAAATATTTATACACCAAACATAGGAGCACCTAAATAAAAAGCAAACATTAACAGACCTGAAGAAATATAGATAGCATTTGACAAAATTTAAACATCCAATCATTATGAAAGCTTTCAACAACATGAAAATAGAGGGAAAGACTACAACCAAATAAAGACCATCTATGACAAGCCCAGAGCTAAAATACTTGATAAAGAAAAACAGAAAGCTCTTCCACTAAGAATAGTCAAAAAGATAAGGATGCCCATGCTTGCTAGTTTTATTCAAAATATTACCTGGAGCTCTAGTCAGAGCAGTTAGGCAACAAAATGAAATAAAAATTACACAAATTGGAAAAGAAGAAATAAAATGGTCCTTATTTACTGATGTCATGAAAATATATATAGATAACACCAAATACTCCATTAATAGCTTTTAAAATTAATTTAAAAAAATTAAGAGTTCCAGGATTCAAAATCAACATACAAAACTCAATTGTATATTTATACACTGTCAATAAACTATCAAGAAAAAAATCTGAGATTAACAACCAAGATGGCGGCATAGGTAAACACCTGAACTTGCTGCTACCCACAACTATATCAAAACTACAACTAAAAGACAAAATGAATACCATCCACAATCATGGGAAGGCTGGCTGAGTGGAAATTCTACAACTAGAAGGAAAGAGAAAAGCACACTGTATCCGGTAAGAGGTGCAGAAGTGCCGAAGTGTGGATGTACAGAGGTGCCCATGGAAATGGGCTGGCAACTGGGTATGCTGTTGTCTTTTTCAATTGGGAGAGAGATACTGCTCTGTACTCTAGTTAGTTACCTACAAGGGCGAGACTCTGGGGACCCAGACTCATGCTGAGGAAACTGGACTGTCTATTATCAGGCCAGAATTTGAGGGCAGTTTTCTCTCAGAGATGCTTGCAGTGATTATTGTTCCTGCATGGTGCCACAGGACTCAGAGACCTGGGGACCTCTTTGGGGTAGGGCTGAAGGTCAGCCATTTCTGTTTGCTCTGCCTGGTGATTCCTTGAGACCTTGCCTCACTCAATTTACAACTCCACTCAAGCTGTGCACAGAGGCTTTTGCATATGAATGGACAGGCCTACTGCAATCTAAAACCTAACAAACTTCAGCTAAATCAGAGAGCGCAAGACATTCCAAAAGAAGGCCCAAGGCTCCAGAGTAACTTGCACTGCTTCGCAGCTGTCCCTCATCTGGGAACCTCCAAACCCCAAATAAAGAAGAGAAATCTGTAGATCTCCCTGTAGCTCCTGCTGGGTAGTTTCAAGCAGCCTCTGACTTTACACCTCCTTGGAGAACCAAGAGCCAGTGTACCCAGTGGTCAGAGTGAGACCATCACGATTAAAACTCTTCACATCCATAAAAGAAACACTCAGGGGGCAGACTCAGTGAGTTCCACAACAAGTCCTTCCCCATAAGGGTGTTTCCAGCACATAAGTTCTCACATTGTAGACACAACTGGTTCTCATAGCCAATTGACCTGGAGGTCATTTCCAACCAGTGTACCAACAGCAATCAAGGCTTAACTACAAGAAGACTGTGAACACAGCCCACAAAGAGGTACACCAAGAGTTTCCATCTATGGTAATTAGGGAGGCTGAGCCACTGGGCCCTATAGGACACCTAGCTCACAAAGCCACTCTTTCAACTCAGGGAAGCAGCCAAAGTCCAGAGACAAAGAAACAAGTCACAAGTCAAAGAAATAGAGGAAAGAAAACTACTGGATTTAGAGTTCAAAAATCATAGTTATAAGGTTATCAAGAATCTTCTAGAAACCTCTGAGAAATATAGTGAGACCCTCAAGGATATGAAAAAGGACTTATTAGAAATTAAGCATACACTGACTGAAATAAAGAATAATATATAGAGATCCAAGAGCAGACTAAAGGATCCCAAGTATCAAGTCAAAGACTTGAAATATAAAGAAGCAAAAAACACCCAACCAGAAAAACAAAAAGCAAAAAGAATCCAAAAATATGAAGATAGTATAAAGAGCCTCAGAGACAACATCAATTGTACCAACATCCGAATTATGGGGTGCCAGAGGAAAAGTGAGATATTGAAAATCTATTTGAAGAATTAATGACAGAAAACTTTCCCCACCTGGTAAAAGAAATAGACCAACAATTGCAGAAAGCACAGAGAACTCCAAACAAAAGGAATCCAAAGAGGACCACACCAAGACACATCATAATTAAAATACCAAGGGCAAAAGACAAAGAGAGAATATTAAAAGCAGCAAGGAAAAAAACAAAACAAAACAAACAAACAAACAAAACTAAAACAGTTACCTACAAGGGAGTACCCATACAACTGTCAGCTGATTTCTCAATAGAAACCATACAGGCCAGAAGGGAATGGCAAGAAATATTCAAAGTGATGTATAGCAAGAACCTACAACCAAGATTACTCTACCCAGCAAAGCTATAATTTAGAATTACAAGTCAAATAAAGAGCTTAACAGATAAGAAAAAGCTAAATGAGTTCATCACTGCCAAACCAGTATTATGTGAAATTTTTAAGGGTATTCTTTAAAAGAGGAGGAAGAAGAAAAATGTAAAGATAAAAATTATGAACAAGGAAGTGACAACAAATACAAAACTATAAACAAGTGAATCTAAAAAGCAAGTGAATACAAAATCTGATGAACAATATAAACTGGTGAATATAATAGAATCAAGGACATATAAAGGGAGTGGACTGACAATTCTCAGGGGAAGTGGTAGTGGGGGATTCAGGAAGAGACTGGACAAAAATCATACACTTATGGATGAATACCGAGTGTGTGTGGAGGGGGGCGGTAAGATATGGGGTGGGATGGGAACCAAGTGGAGGAGAGCTAAGGGGGGGGGGGAGCAACAACTGCAATAATCTGAACAATAAAGATATATTAAAAAAGAAAAAGAAAAAAAAATTCTTGGTATTTGTTTTGACCATGATTTCTTTTTTGGGTACACACCAATAACATGGAAAGCAGAAGTGAAAATAACTGGTGGGAGCACCTCAAACTAAAAACTTCTGGACAATAAAGAAAAGCATCAACAAAATTAAATGCAACTACAGAATGGGATAAAATATTTGGAAATCATATCTAATAAGGAGTTAATATCTAAAATATGTAGAGAACTCACATATTTCAGTCAAAAATTGTAAGAGCTCTGAAGAGTCATTTTCCAAAGATATACAAAAAGACTACAGGTAATGGAAAGGGGTTCAGCATCACTAATCATCAAGGAAAAGCAAATTAAAACCACAGTGATATACTACCTAACACCTGGTAGAATGCCTATCATAAAAAAGACAGGAGATAATGAATTTGGTGGGGAAAGGGGGACATGTACAGTTTTGGTAGGAAAGGAAATTGTTACAGCCATTACAGAAAAGAGTGTGGAGTCTTCTCAAAAAAAAATTCAAAATAGAACTATCATATGATCCAGCAATCCCAGTTACTGTATCCAATGAAATTAAAACAGGATTTTGAAAAGATATCTGTACTTCCATGTTTATTGCAGAATTATTCACAATGACAAGATATGGAAATAGCTTTAGTGTTTCCTTAAAAGATGAGTAAGATATAACAGCGTGCGCGCACAAACACACACACACACACAGTGTCAATATTACCGTATTTTTCGGACCATAAGACGCTCCGGACCATAAGACACACCAGTTTTTAGAGAAGGGAAATGAAGAAAAAAAGATTCTGAAACAAATAGTGTCCTAAAATATTTTATGTGCATTAAAACCCAACATCACAGTCATAAACACATGTAATCAACCCTGTAAACAACAGCATTTAGAACCATTTTAGAGCCAGGCAAGCACACAGAGACCACACAGAGCCGGGCAAGTAAAAAACCTTTTTTTTTAAAGTATATGTGTAGGCTATATTTGGACCATAAGACTCAGGGACTTTTCCCCCCACTTCTGGGGGAAAAAAAGTGCATCTTATGGTCCGAAAAATACGGTATTCAGCCATGAGAAAGAAGGAAATATTGCATATATGATCCATATCAATGGACCATGTGTGCAGTATGCTAAGCTAAATAAGCCAGACAGAGAAAGAGAAAAGGCACATGCTATTACTTATATAGGAAGTCTTAAAAAAAAAAAGGCAAATATTAAAAAAATAGTAGAAAATTTGTTGCCAGAATTTGGGTGTGGGTGAAGTAAATAGGGAGATGTTGGTATATGATTATAAACTTCTAGGTATGAGATGAAAGGTCTGAATATCCAGGACAGCAAGGGACGGCAGTTAGGAGCAACCAGGCTTGCAGGGGAGGCCAGATGGGGGAAACCAGGCCTGCAGGAGAGGGCAGTTAGGCCTTGATCAGGCTGGCAGGGGAGTGGTTAAGGGGTGATTAGCCTGGCAGGCAGAAGTGGTTATGGGCAATCAGGAAGGCAGGCAGTGAGCAGTTGGGAGGCAATAGTCCTAGATTGTGAGATGGATGTCTGATTGCCCTTTAAGCCTGGTGAGATTGGGTCTAAATGGGCAGTTGAACATCATTTGAAGAGTCCCAGATTGGAGAGGGTGCAGACTGGGCTGATGGACACACACACACACACACACCCTGTGCATAAATTTTGTGCTCTGGGCCTTTAGTATAAGCATAATATGTTAATTAGATCAAATGTCCTTCCAGGCTAAGTTAGGGCTGCTAGGGAAGTCCGGATTCCATATGCATGCCTGTGGCCAGAGGAAAACCCACGTCCTGGGTGCAGAGGGAAGCCGGTGCCAGCAGCCAGGGGGAGGGAGGCCTACTCTTGCACCAATTTTGTGCTTTGGGCCTCTAGTGTACCCTATAAATATCTTATAAAAATATATGTTAATAACGTGTCAATAAAGCAAAAACAATAGGGTTAAATTGAATAGAAATTCTAAAAATTTTACCTTAGGCTTTAGACCTTGTGACAGTTATCACATGTGGCTAAACACTTTTAAGTATAAATAGAAATTGGGTTAACCCTTAAATAAGAAATCTGTTTTATGTTGCTGTCAATCAAGTGGTAGACAAATAGGATGTCTTAGGAGATAACAAAATAATTCAGTAAAGGAGGTTTGTTTTGTAATTATGTCTTAAAATATTATATCAATTTAAAGTATGTTAGATTCTTGCTTTCCTGCATAAGGAATATCCTACATGCTGACAATCATTTTGCAATTTTGTACTATGAGTAATTTTCAGGTGAAATTGGTATATTAAATATTGGGTCTTATTAGATGTGCAGTGTTCAGTTTCTTTGTGCTCATGTTATCAGTCAGCTGTGATGTCGATAACTATGTTCCCCCAGGGGACTTTCCTGAGATTCTGTGCAGAATTGGTGAATGTCAGAAAACACCTGCTTTATTAGGCTGTGCAATTACTTTTTATTCTAGGATGTCAAACCAGGTCTAAAATGGGTAATTTTTTAAATCCTGAAATGAGAGCAAGTAAATGTTAGGTTTTGCTGCCAATATTGGTGGAACACAATTCATATTGTTGAGGCATTGTCTTCCTTCTAAGGCAGAATACTAGTGAACATCCTCAAAAGAAAACAAAGGGGAATAGGTTTACCTTAGGCAGGGGTTTGGCAGGCTTGCAGTGGAGTCCTCCAACAAAATGAAAATGTGGTAAGACTGGGCGAGGAAATTCAAAATCCCAATAGGTTCGAATGAGCCATATTTCAGCTTTCTCCATCGTCTCATATAATGTAGTGGGTCTTCCTGAAGGGGAAGCAAACAGAAGGCAGAGGAAATGAGAGCATTTTAATGTAAGTACTATACTGGGACATTTTCTGAAAGGTGCTGGGGATAAGTAGCCCAAATGCTTTAAAGTGTCTGTGGTTTGATAATATAAATATTTATGTGTATGGTGTAAATGTACGCATACTCATATAGGTGATAAAGGAGGGGGGAATCCCTCAGCTCAGCCTTCCCACTCTCACAGTCCAGGAGCCCTCAGGGGTGGGAAGTGACTCAGTGATCAGGGGAAGGCAATGCCCCATCACGCCACTGCTGCTGCCACTGCCAGCAGCACAAGACTCAGCAAGCCCTGGTTATCTTAGACTTGGGCGGCCCTGGGTGGCTGGGTAGCCACCATTTGAGGCTTGCCTGTGCCTCAGGCCAGCCTTGGGCAGCTAGGCAGCTGCCATATGAGGCTTTCCTGCTCCTTTGGCTGACCCTAGGTGGCTGGGACCTTGAGGGGATTGGAGGACTCTGGAGGCAGGTGCAAAGATCTGCAGGCCCAGGCCCGGCCTTGACGTATGCCTGCTACCCCAGTGGGGCTGAGGGGACTGGGCACAGCCACCTTGTGGCTGTGGGTGACATCATCTTTGAGGGTGTGACGCTCAATTAGCATATTCCCTCTTTTTTTCCTTAGGATTTAAGAATAATATTTGCAAATAACAGCTGGAAAGTTTTCATAAGATATGAAAATAGATGTGCTTCCTTTAATTTTGGCTAATTTTTTGTATAATGAAAAGGCACAGTTTTTACAAGCACAGACTAATAACTTGATTGTCCACACTACAAAGTGATTTTCAATCTTTAAAGGGGAGTGTAAGCACTGAGTGAATTAATATGTAGTTTTTAGATACTTTGAATTGTAGGTTCTTAAGTCATTTTTGGAGCCATTCCATCACCCCATTGTGAAATAGTTTTTTAGGTAACATGTCAAACAGTTTAATTTTAAAAATAAAGAAACTGAAGAGAAACAAGTGGAAACAATTATCTCAAAGCTAAATGGGCAGCTGTGCTAGAAATAAAGTAGCTTATCAATGTGCTTTTCTGCTTTGAGAAAGATATTTAGTCAAATTTTAATGCCTTTTTTAAAGTTGAGAAATTATAGTAAAGTAGGTATTTTGGAAATAAGTAAAACACAGAGAATTTTTAGGGTAGTGAAACTACTCTGTAAAATACGTGTCATTATAAATTTGTTAAAACCCATGGATTATGTAACACCGTGAGTGAATTCCAACATGAACTGTGGTGTTTGGATGATAATGATGTGCCAGTCTAGGTTCAACAATTATAAGACATGTATTCCTTGGGTGCAGGCAAGGGTTATATGGGAAATCTTACTCAATATTGCTGTGAACTTAAAAGTTCTCTAACAGTAAGTGCAGGATGGACAATATTTTGACATTATGTTTAAGAAATAACAAAGAGAGAATAAAACACTTTACCCAGAAAAAAATAATAATAAATAATGTATAAATAAATAGACAAAGGATTGATATAATGGCTTTCTTTTGTGATTTTTGACTTCCTGAAATCTCCTGTACTAATAATAGATCACAGGGTTAAAAATGGCCTTATAATTTAAATATTACTATAATATTTGTGAGATTGAAAGATCATTATATATTATTATTTAGTCATTTTACTTATAAAAGTTATTTCCTCTGACTTTATATTTCTACAAACTCTCCTCCCATGGTATTAGCAAAGTTAGGATTTCAAGCTACCAATTAAAACATGACTTACCTAGAACATCACTATAAAACTGATCCCACTTCTTCAGATTATATGTTTGGAACCAGAAGTCAAAATAAAGCATGTAAATCATATTTTTTACTCGCTCCATGAATGTCATGTGATCACTTAATTCTGACAAGATAACAGGTACGTAGGATGGAGGGAATGGAAGTCCTCCACTGAACTTTTCAATGTTATAGCCAGGAGAGAAGCGGAGACTGTACACAAAAGGAATTTTAAGTAGCTCAGCCAGCAGCTCACCACAGGGTCCAATGGCATCTGCAAGAACTACATCAAACCTTGATTCCTGTAGTTTGGTCATAAGTTTCTTGTTCAAAACTACATCTTTACAAAGTGTTTGAATGCAATCATAATATTCCCAAAACATATCTTGCATTAATGAAAAATAAGTAAAAAATGTATCTTTTCTCCCATATAACCATTTAGAGATAATCCGCATGGAAAGATCCTCAAAATCATCTTTTGTTAAAGATGCAGGAAAAATCTCAAATTGAATAGCAGATGGTTTATTGGGATCAACAAGAATCGAAGCTGAAGATGTCAGAACAGTCACTTCATGACCTCTCTGCACAAGTGCATCCAGGATTGTCTTCATGTTGATCCAATGGCTGTATTCTGTGGGCCACACCAGCACCTTCCCACAGCTCCCAGGGCTGAAGTGGCAACTCAGCTGTAGCAGCAGCAGAACTGAAATCCACTTCCTAGGCATCCTGGAGGCACACAGGATGTTTTCAAATCACTGATCCCTTTCCCACGGCTCACGCTTATGTCCAAAGTTAAATCAATCAGGAAGTTAAAATGTAACCCACACACCCAAAGTAAATATATTTTATGAACAGTCAGACGATTTGTATGGAAAAAGTAAATATAGATGATAAGCAAGTCACTTTAATATCTGTTTTATGATCATAAGCACTATCAATGACCTTGTATTTGCAAGTCTTCTGTTTTATTTCTCCTTTAAGTAGAAAAGGAAAGGCTATAACCAGAAATAAGAAAATATGAGAAAGGAATAAAAACTCCACAAGTAAAGCCAAGTATTAATAAAAACATCATATTAGACTTTTTAAAAACTACTAAAAAGGTAAAGTGCATAAAAGGTATGTAACTCAACTCAAAATACAATAAGTAATTAGGTGACACACAACACAAAGAGATATAAATCATGGCATCAATAATATTAAACACTGAGGGGTTAGTGACTTCCCAGTTAACCTGTCCATCCATCAATTTATTTTGCCTAGGAGAATGAAGGGGCATGGAAAGTGCATTTTAAGGGGTATGAAATTTCTTCTTGGGGTGATAGGCATGTTCTAAAATAAGATTATGAGGATATAGTGAGACTTTTATAACTCTGTAATGTCGCTGAATATATGGGAATTTTATACTTTAAAGAGATGAATTTTATGTTAAGTAGATCATGTATCACTATATACTCTATTAAAATAATATTCATTAAAATAATTTAAAAACTATTTTTATAGTTTCAAAATTTTTAAGTATTGAATTGAAATATTTTCTGGTATTGCTTTCATGTTTATCAGTGTTTCTATAGATTTAATTACACTTCAAAAAGTTTGTGCTTCTTACTAAAGCTGTTTGTAACCTTAAAATTTATTTGCATAGGAAATTGTACTAATTTGTTACCCATTAAAGCTAAAGGATTAAACTGCAAATTTGAAATAACTGTCTTGCTGAATGTTAAAGTGAATTTCAAATTGATTATTATTTTTATTATTTCAAAGTTAGTTTCTTTATAACTGGACACAAGTCATAATCACTGTTGAAAAGAGCAACTATATATAACTATGTACACAACATTCCTGCACAGGCAGGGTTCCTAGTGGCTGTTGGCTGTTGGCTGCAGCCTGGAGCACCTCCCTTTCCCTGACCGCCTGTTGCAATTGCCACCACTGGCCAGGAGGACTCCCTTTCCCATGCTGTTTGCTGCTGCCACTGCCAGCCCTGCCCTCTGGTCATATTCCAGTGGAACTCCCCGTCAAGGGGACAATTTGCATTTTAGGCTTTTATTACATAGGATTACTATATATATATATATATATATATATATATATATATATATATATATATATAAAATGTAGTCATGAAGGATCATTAATGACAGTCTTCAATGCATTCAGCAAATCTGTACTTGACATTGTGTTCAAGTCCAATCTAACAGCTGGTCCTTTGGCCTCCATGTGAACAATGACACCGCCATGAAGGATAAAAGGTTTGGTATGGGTGTGATCTAAAAATGAATCCCGAATTTCATTGTTAGAAATAGACAGCATAAGCCAATCAAGAAGACAATATTTTCTTCATAGGATTACTGTGCTCCTGGGATCATATGAATGTTTGTGACTTTAAAAATATATATATATTATTGATTTTTTACAGAGAGGTAGGAAAGGAATAGAGAGTTAGAAACATCGATGAGAGAGAAACATTGATCAGCTGCCTCTTGCACATCCCACTGAATTGTGCTTACAACCAAGGTAGATGCCCTTGACTGAAATCAAAAGTGGGACTCTTGAGTCCCCAAGCTGATGCTCTGAGCAAGACTAGTTAGGGTTGCTTGTGACTTTTAAAAAGAAGTCTGTTTGAGGATAAAAGAAAGAATTATATAAGAGGTGATGTTAGTATAGAGTTGTTTTGTCCAGTAAATAAGTTTGGGAGTGAATCAAGATTCTAACAACACCCTGTTCAAAATCATGTAGGTGAAAAACATTCTCTCTTAAGAGTACAGAGAGTAATTCATTCTGGTAATATATGCAGTATCTCATGGGTTTTGGAAATAAAGAACAAATGGTAGATGTGTTGAGCACTAAGTGTTTTATATTCTACAAGAGGGCAGGTGCACAAAATTTGTGCACTTGGAGGGGAGGGTCCTCAGCCTGGCCTACACCCTCTCACAGTCCAGGAACCCTTGGGGGATGTCCAACTGCCATGGAGGTGGGAGAGGCTTCTGCCACCACCACTGAGCTCACCCACTGTGAGCCTAGCAGCTGGCTGAGCAGAGCTCACCCTGTGAGAGCACACTGACTACCAGGGGGCAGCTCCCGCGTTGAGCATCTGCAAACTGGTGAACAGTGAACATAATAGGGACCAGTCTTTCCTCTGTTTGGTCAATTTGCATATTAGCCTTTTATTATATACAATTGCATATATTTATTTTGTAGGCAATGTGAGTCACTGAAATTTCAAAGTAAAGGAGTGGTGTTTTTCCATATAATCTTACAAAAAAGAGAGAGAGAAACATTGAAGTGAGAAAGACACATCAACTTCTTGCCTCCCATATGTGCCCTGACCAGGGTTGGGGACTGAACCTCCAACTGAGGTACTTGCCTTTTAATTGGAATTGAACCTGTGACTCTTCAGTCCACAGGCTGATGCTCCAAACAATGAGCTAAATTGGTCAGGGTGAAATTGTCACTTCTGAATGGGATGAAATCCTAAGGAATCCTAGGTCACTGGGTCAATGTTTGTTTGTTTATTTATTTATTTATTTAGTATTTTTAAAATATGTTTTTATTTATTTTAGACATAGAGAAAGGGACAGAAGGCAGCTTGATAGCTTCCTGGAAAGAATGGGAGCCCAAGGAACTATCCCATGATTCAGTCCATCGAGTGTTTTTCCATACCTAAATTTGTGTATCTGATCTCCAAAAAAATTAGCAATACTTGAAAAAGCAAATATAAATATTGCCAAACATGTGGAAAAGGGGGTAAGGGAGGCTTACCAGCAAAAAGCTGAAAATTGTCTCTTAAATGTAATTAGATCAAGGGATCTTCTTTGTCAGATTGCACTTAGAATAAATGAGCTATTCTGTGATGAGAAAATTATGGAAAGTCAGGATAGAGAAGTCTATTGGTAGCATTATTTACCTAGAATGTTTTCTAAGCTTCTTTGTTACTTTGAATTATTTGTTTTGTTCTGTATTCCCGCAGATGTACCTGCCTAACCACCTACTCCTTTGTCCTTTGATGCCCCCATTTCCCCACATTCAAGTGCATGTACTTACTATAGTATCTCATTCTATGACCTATGATTACTGATTAATTTTATCGGATCCACTAATAATTTTGCTCTTGGATTATTTGCTTAGTTGTTCATTTGCCACATACCTACCCACCCTCCAATTTTTACTTGCTCTCCAGCTTTGTACTTTGATTGTTTGACAGTTGTTGCCTAGTTTTCTTCACCTTACCTTGCATGCCCTTTACTATGGTATCTCTTCTAAGATCTTATTTTTTATGAACTATCACTTCTGATTAATTATTAGCACTATTATCTTAAAAACTTTGGTCTTTGGATCACTTGTTTAATATTATTCTGTACAGACCTACTCACCCTCTCATTTCACTCACCAACCAGCTTTCAACTTTGTTTGCCATTTGATGCCTTTTTTTTTTTTTTCCTCTTCATTACCTTGAATGCCTCAATTAAGAGTTTATTTTCTATGACCTGTAATTCCTGGTTAATTTTTAGCTAATTTATTTTTAGGACTTTGGTCTTGATTCAAACCACTTCTCCTTCTCCTGTATGTATGTGTGTGTATATATAATATTTTTCTATATAATCTCTATATAATAATCTTTATCTTGTTTTTTTTAAATTCTTTATTATTTAAAGTATTACTACATATGTTTCTTTATAGCCCATTGACCTCTCCCTGGCCACACACCCCTCCCCACAACCCTCACCCTCCTAGTATCTTGCATCCATTGATTATGCTTATATGCATGCATACAAATCCTTTGGTTGATCTCTTACACCCCTTCCCATTGCCTTCTCTCTGAAGTCTGATGATCTGTTTGATGCTTCCCTGTCTCTGGATCTATTTTTGTTCATCAGTTTATGTTGTTTAATATAAAACATAATTGAGTGAGATCATGTGATATTCATCTTTCTCTGACTGGCTTTATTTCGCTTAGCACATTCTTTTAATCCACTCATCTGCTGATGGGCACTTAAGCTGGTTCCAAATCTTAGTGATTGAAATTGAGCTGCTATGAACATAGAGGTGCATATGTCCTTTCTGATTGGTGTTTCTGATTTATTGGGATATATTCCTAGAAGTGGGATCACTGGGTCCAATGGGAGTTCCTTTTTTAATTTTTTGAGAAACTCCATACTGTTCTCCTCAGTGGCTGTACCAGTCTGCATTCCCACCAACAGTGTATGTGGTTTCCTTTCCCCGCCACCCCCACCCCCCCATATTTTGGCCAGCATTTGCCCTTCTGAAAGGTGTGAGATGGTATCCCATTGTCATTTTAATTTGCATAACTCAGATAATTAGTAATTTTGAGCATATTTTCATATGTCTCTTAGTCTTCTGAATGTTCACTAGTCTATTTACTAGTAATTCCTTTGCCCATTTTTTGATTGGATTGTTTATCTTCCTTTAAGATGTATCAGTCCCCAATAAATTTTGGAGATTAGGCCCTTGGATATAACATTGGCAAATATTTTCTCCCATGCAGTGAGCTTTCTTGGTGTTTTGTTGATGGTTTCTTTTGCTGTGCAGAAGTTTTTATTTTTTATTTTGATCTAGTCCCATTTATTTATTTTCTCCTTAGTTTCCATTGCCCTAGGTCTAGGAGCTGTATCAGTAAAGATACTGCTAGGACAAATATCTGCTCTTTTGCTGCCTAAGTATTCTTCTAAGATTTTTATGGTTATGTTTAGTCCTTAATCCATTTCCCTTTATTTTTGTGTATGGTGTAAGTTGGTGGTCTAGATTTTTT